ATGGACAGTTGACCTAAACCAAAAATTGTTTCGCGATATTAAAAACGATAATAAAATGCAATATAATCAGAAGATAAGTTTTAAACTTTTTATACGTCTATTCTATATGATTTTATGTCGAGTTTAATAATATGATTACCTACTGTAACATATAAATAATATTCGATCGAGATATAATCTAATATTATTGATATTATTATCATATGAAAAAGATGCCCTTGTACATAAACATAATATACATATAATCATAATATAAGTAAAAGTCGTCATCCATCGGTGAGGTGTATTTTTTTATAGTTCGGTGATATTATATTATATATTATGTATACGATAGGGTGTCTTGTCGAGCAGTATGTCCTAGTATAACTACGCCCCACCAAAGTATATATTATTATATATTACATATATAATATAGGTATATACTTATTTATATGTGTATATATATTACAATCTTCGATCCGTCTCCCGCCCAAACTTTAAAACTATATTTGAATAAACTACAGAAACTAATGATTTAACTTTTAAAATGTTTATTTCAATAAGCCACGTCATAATATAAACGTATATGTATATCAAACGGCTCATATAATATAATATAACATATTACATATGTTAATAGGTAACACCAAAACAAAACATTATACAATCAAGTCTCAATAACTCGAAACTCAAGGTGAATAAAAATAATTTTGACTTACGTATTTTTGAGTTATATAGATATCTCCAACACAACTTAAAAACACTTAAAGAGGGGTTTTTTTCTATGAGTTAGTGAGGCTTTCGAGTTATCAAGACTCGGCTGCAGTATATTGTATTAGTTGAAGGGAATTTTTTATGGACTATTATAATATGCAGACAAATGACTATAATATTTACGTATAATATAGTATTATATTTTTTATAATATAGGTATTACCTAACTACTGCAGTCAACTCTCGAGACCGAGAGCATGCTTTAACGGGAAAATAGAAAAAAATTCGTGTGAAACCAACGCATTATACTCATAATAATAATATTATTGGAACGCATCCGGCGCGTAACAGTGCGGGACGACGTCGATTTTGATATTCCAAACGTGGAATGCTACAATATAAAAATTATATACGTATACAAAATAAAAATGTATACATATATGGTATAGGACAAAATCGATCGCACGGATTCGGAATAATAACAATAATCGATCGTCGTCGGCATCGGTGCAGGCGGTATATACCTGCCTCACGTCACATATAGTTTTATGTATTTAATATATAGCTGGCGGTTAAAGTGTAAACATGCGACGGACGACGGTGCATTTGAAGGCAGGGTCGACCAAAATAGTTAAATACTCTATTTTTCAAAGTATAAAAATATAGGTACTAAATAGATTTAAAACAATATAATATTATGCAAAATAAAGATATTTTTTAGAAATGTACTTAAAATGCAATAGGTATACAAGTGGTAAATTAAAAGTATATGTAAAAAAAAATTATTCGATGGGAACTACATTGACAATTAGCTATAGCCTATAAGTTATGACCTCAGTAATGTAGAATATATAGATACATGAAACTACATAATAATATGAATTTAGGTATAACGAATATTGTAGTACACGATACAGAATACATTTGGTAATTTAGTTACCAACTATATTGTCAATAACGTATAGTCTATGGTAATAATTTAAATTGGTGTGTAGATATACATTATTAATATAAAAAAGTATAAAATATTACATTATTAAATACAATTATTGAAGTATACAAAATACTGTATACCTAGGTATTAGGTATGGTATATTGTATGGATATAATTTTTTTAACTAGTAACTGGAAACTAATGTAGGTACGTATATTAGTAAAAACTAAGATATTTAACTTACTATTTTGGTTATATATTTCTTTTAAATAAAAACAAAACCTATTTAAAACAAAATATTATATAAAATACAATTTGAAAATGTGCCTATAAATAAGTAAAAAATTAAAAAATATACATTTCAAATGAACATTAAAAAAATTAATCTTACATTACCGTGTCAGAATAAAGATTTTTTGAAAACATTTTGGGAGGTCTGAAGCGTGAATACGTGCTTCAACGGACTGAAAAAATCTATAATATTATATATTTTATCGGATTCCCATGGTGTCTGCGTATGGTGCGATCGTCACGCGCTGTATAATAAACAACCGTTCTAACCCTATACGTAATACCTAACATAATAATAATAAAGTATCATGACGTTGTGACAAAATCGTTGCGTGTGAAATATTCCTGTCGATCCTTGCCAAAAATTGAGAACCAAAGACGTTTAAATATATTATATTAATATACTTTAATTTTAATACCTACATAATATAACATAATATATTATATACATAAATAAATAAATAGCGAGAGGTTCGGGGTGCCTATATTATATTATGACGAGTTATCGAAATGATTATCTTTTCATATTTTATATCTCTTTAGAATTTTCGTGCGGCATCTAACATCTGTATATTATATATTTATATACACCGTATTATAACACGGTACACATTATTATACTACGCTGTTACCATATTTTTACAACTATCCATAATTAATCGTAATCAGTCGTATACAGGGGTTGGGCCGTTGGGGTAAAGTGGAAACGTACAACCCTCTACGGCCTACGCCACAGAGTCGCGGTAAGCTCGCTCTTCCGTTTCGGACTCGTTACTCGTTAGTATACCGCGTTACTCGTCATACACTCATATTATATACCTATACGTCATAGTCTACACATTATATAATCTTTTACGTGTGTCCGCGGGCATCCGATCGTCGTCTTTTAAATGAATCTTATTTGTAAGCCGTTAATTACGCGAGCTCGGTTGTAAAGGATAACAATACAAGTAGAAAAATAACACTGACCCGAGGCTATTTATTATATATATATGCAATCTATAATCTACACATATGTATATATAATATATTATACATGATATAACTTATAAGACATTAATCTATAATATATAATATACACACAATAACCGTAGTCGGACCAATTGGTCAACCACCCGTTACGTGAGAGGTCGTTGTACCATCATAGCGCAGTCTTCTTCAGTGCATTAAAATATACGTAGGTATCGGCTAATCATTGTAATAAATATATATCATATAATATTGTGTTACGGAAATTTAGGAGGCCTGAGTATTCCTAATAGGATTCCATCGTCACAAGTAATTGAAAAATATATTTAGAAAAAAAATTGCAACCACGCATCGACAAACGAATTATAAAATATACATATTATATATACACATATATATGCACTTGGACATCATCGTAACGGTCGTTAATGGCCAGGAAACAGGCACGTGGCGGACGTGACTGCATTGTTTCAATGAATCATTTTTTTTTCTGTTCTCACTTTGGTGTATTAAGGTTAAAAAAAAACCTAGGTAGAAAGAATTCACCACGAATACCGTCTTGTCACATTCGTCTGACAGAGGCGACGCGACGAGTAATATTAAACAGGTCGTCGACTTAGAAATTGTATTGTTTTTTTTTCTCCATTAACATAAATGTCAGAATATTTTTTGAATTTTCGATGAATATATAATTATCTTTATAAATAATAATAATAATAACTAGAGTTCCAGAAACAACACATTTACCTATGCATTGTCAGTCGCCACACATAACCTATGCATAATGTTTATTATATCTCACACGTAATAATGCGTAATATGTTTAAAACGTTTTAGTTACCCAATGTGGCAATGTATATCACTAATTATCAATTATCTTGTACGTAGTTATGAATTTTGATATTATATTAACGATCAATTATCTATAGATTTTCCATAGATTTTCCTCGTATCGAATTTATTTAAAATAATTAATAAAATCATATTATTATAATATAAAGGAGCCTCAACACCATATTCGTTTTCTCTGCCTGTCTAGCAAAGTCGCGAGTTATATAGCAACAAAAGTATTCCTTACAACCTTTATATAGCTTTATAAAAAAGGATATTTTCTGTGCATGGTGCATATTAGCTGCTATCTTTTTAATATTTAAATTCTGCAAAATGTTGTAAATGATTCTTGATAACAATTTAAATATTAAAAATACTGTCAAAGGAAAGCACAGGAAGTAACCTGCTTTGTAAAACACATAGATAATGGATCCCTTTGTCTTTAAGTTTAGGGCCTAAACTTATAACCACAGAGCCGTAGAAGTAGAAGTACGAAATACCTATTTTTGTTGTTATATTACGCAAATATAGACAGAAATAACTAACATTAGTGTAAATAAGATACAATATATTAATATGCATAACCCTAGAACATTCACATGCTCACACTCATCACTGACAAATAATAGTATTACCTAATGTCTAGTTTTCGTGTTTTCTTCATAATAAGAAATAAAATAATAATATAATAGCCAATAGGTACCTAATAATATGTTTTGAATCTGCAGTTTGCTGTGTAAATTATATTTTTGTACTCGCACTTCATTATTCTGATATACGTTGAGTCGTATAACGTGAAATCGTAAATAATAAGTATATATAGTAGGTATAAAATAATAATATATAGTTGATCAAATTTTGCGTTACGGTAGACAGCTTCAGGTGATGGGGATTGCAATAAAATTATATAAGCTGCAGTACCACCACCGCTAATGTTGTTTATAATCTACTAAAAAATATATACCAGAGGTGGCAAGCGATAAGAGAGTGACGAACCTCAGAGTATAATCTAAAATATATGAGAGGTAATAGCAGGGAAGAAAGGTTCTCAATCATCATAAATAAGATAATATATCGAATTCAATAAAATACATAGAATTCTAAACATTATAATAACGTACAATAATATCAGATTAAACTTTGTATGAGATATAACACCCATTTTAATACTAGTAACATGTTTTGCGTCTTACGATAAGACGCGAGCCGTAGTTTGGCCACCCCTGATATATAGGTACTTTTGAAAATAATTACCGAAATTCAAAAGTGCCTTATTTTTCAGACCTTATTCGTCGCCACTTCCTTAATGGTGACAGTGGCGTTGGGCCAGCAACGCCCCGTCCCGCCGACGTTCACCAGACCTGCTGTGCAGGGTCGTGGCATCGCTCAGCTGAACTTGGACGCACAACAACAGGTGCCTCAGCCGTTCCGCAGGGTATCTTTGCCCCTGTACAGAGGCCGAGGGTTCAGTCTGGAGGGACAGGAGCCGATTAAGCCACAGGTGGCGCAGCAGACGTTCCAGTCGAGACCAGTTGAAAACGTGAACGTTGACGCGGCGGCGGTCGACGACGCACCCCAGCCCACCAGACAAGCACCGCAGCACCAGTTTGAGAGGACACAGCAGCAGCAAGTCGACAGGGTTCAACATCAACAACAACACATCGATAGGATTCAATCTCAGCCTGAAAAACAGTTCCCCGGATTCCGGCCACAGGTATATAGGAAATACAAATATATAAAGAGACTCAGCTGCAGAGCCTTACATTATATTATTTTATTATTATTATACTCATTAGGTAGTACGCTTTTGTTGTAATGACCCGGTTTATCTGGATAGGTATAGATATCTATATAATTTATAACGTCCTGGTCTACAATATTCTCAGGTTGATTATTGAAATGTGTACGTGGTTCTTAATATTTAAAAAAGCGTTAAAAACGTCATATGGTTAGGTATTAAAAGTCGCAGCATTATAATTTTATTAGAGTCATATTAAAAGCAATCATATTTCATAAAACTCAAAATATTACAGATATAAAATACTGAATAATATGTATATTGACCTAATAATTTTCTGGTTTGGTAAAAAAGTCAACATAGTAAAGACGGTTCGGTTCTATCTATAATTTTATATTTTTATCCGAATATATAGGTAAATGCAGTGTTCTACCACTATTGTGAACCTAAAATATTGAATATAATATAGATTTATACTGTATACCTATAATAAATGGGTTATAATAATAATCAAAGCTCATCACTGTAATTTGATTTTAATTATATTATTTAGCCGCAGATCCAACCCATTGAACCACAACCAAACTTCGTTAGGAAGGTCGTACAGAGGCCGGTGAAACGCGTACGAGTCACCGAAGAGACGGAAGTTGTTTCTAAATCTCCGGAAACGATTCAGAGAATGAAACTTGAACGAACCGAGTCTGCAGACAAACAGAGGGCGAAGAAGCCGGTGTCTCAGGTACCATAATAATTCATTTTGATTTTTTACTCAATGAATGTACATTGAACTTGTCATATTAATCTCGTAGAAATCCGAATGTACTTATATCATTCTAGAGACTATGTGTAGGTACTTTGTCATCGTTCTGCCGAGACATTATCACATCTTTATAATCACAAATCTACTACTGGGAATTGGTGTTACAGTATTTTTCCACATCAGGGGCCTTGGGAATGGGTTATCTGGAACTGCTGTAGTTGTCATTAAATATACTCTCTTCTGACAACTGCCTTAATCCAAGTCATCGGACTCATTCAAATAGCGTAATAATATAGGCTATATAGTGTATTATAGACGTCGCCTTTTACTTATACTTCCTCGATCACTCACTCACTCGCTCGGCACTTGAATAAAATCCTATAAACAGCACGTTTCCCCCGACGCATATTCGTGACTACAACTGTCTGTTTATTTTTTCGAATATCGTGCCCTCGTATTTTATGCAGATACAACTCGGCTTTTAGTACATTTAGTGCTGCAAATCAATAAAATATGTTTTTATCGAAGTGACTACTATATAGGCACTATACTATCGAAGTATCAACAGTAGACTGTGAAGACAAAAATGATTACGATCGCTTGTCATTAAATTGCATTTGTATTTTCAACGATTTATGTCGATTATATACCAGATTATATTTATACTATAGAAATTCAAAACCAGTTTATTTAAATTCTCTATGCGTTTTCTATTCGTAGCATATTAAAATAACAATAAGCCTACACATGGTGTAAATTACACACACATATATATATATGGTATTAGCGTAGTGTACCTTTAGTTAAGACTTTTCAAATATGCAATGACGCATTGAAGCGCTCGAAACCCAATCGACAAGAACAAAACGATTAACAATAATACTATATAGGTAGGATATGCGTACTTAGTGGCACTACTTACAGTGTAAAAACAAAAATCATTTTTTAATGATATCTAAATATGAATGTGCCTTATGAGTGAAAAAAAAAATAATTACCTTTCAACAATAATAAATCATGAAGAAAATTACATTTTCAATAGATATAGCATACAACATTGACCTTTTTACGAGTATATAAAAATACATTTGCGGTGTAGGCATAGCACGTAATATGAATACTAGTTAAATACGGTCGGTGTTAGATCGATGTATAATAATATAAACTAACGATTTGAAATCAAAAAGAATGAACCACATTCAAGTGAATATTATAAATATGACACCTCGTTATAACGGTGAAACTCAAAACATTTGCGAAAGCATATAATCAAAAAAATAAATATATATATCAATACAACATATTAATCATTATATAGTTTAATGTTTCATATTTGAATTATTATTACTTGATCTTAAAAAACATGAAATATATTTTACTTATTAATTCATTCATTTTTCATGTGTGCCATTAATTATTATACATAAATATATAATCATTTATGGTATGCACGCATGTTTGTCTGAATGGTTTTAAAAATTAGGCTGTAACTTGTTTGCACACAACAATCTATCATTTTTACCTGAAAAATCGGAATTCGTTTGCGCACACGATTATTTTAAATGTACAACTGGTTTGAGCACACGAAAATAATTAATCTGTGTTGGGCACTGATAATCATTGATAAAGAGTATGGAAATATTATATTAAAATTAAAATTATCATGCATTTTTAACCATACCTATGAATACATTCATAGACAGTCCTAAGTCTGTTAAGATGGAAGGAAAATGTTTGTAAGTACGTTAATAATTTACTTATTAATAAACAAATATTAATATGCAAGGTATTAAACAATTAAAGTCTAAAAGGTAACTGTGCGCAAACCATGTGTATGGTTAAGGCTCAACTGTTCCCAAACGAGTGGTAGTTTTGTGCCCAATCAAGTTGTCTTTTTGGTATTTGTGCGCAAACCAGAACCGTCCAAAAATTAACGATTTCAGTAAGTCTTTACAAATTTTCCGTAGCCATAGTTTATAAAAAAATAATCGATAAGAATAATTTATACAAGATACTATATTACCTACTTAAAAGGTACAATATCATATATTTTTATAAAAAAAAAAATAAAAAAAAAGAGAATGTTTATTAATAATATAGGTAGGAAACTAATGGCGATATTAAATAATAATCAGAATCAGAATCTAAATTAAATAACGATATTGTACAGCTCGTAGTTCGTACATTATATAATGTAGCATAAATTTATAATTGCCAACGAAAACATTAATACTGACTACAATTTAAAACCGACCCGAAGGAAAAAAATTGTGTAATTAGTAATTAGTAATTACTAATTATATGTGATGTCTATATATTATAATGGAGTGTTTAGCTTAATATGTTACCTACTGGCTACAACTGCACAATTATTTTGTTATAAAAAATTAAGTCTGTTCCTGTATTAATCGCGATATCTGCATGAGATCATATTATATTATATAATAGGCAGGTAATAGTGTAATATATAATATTATATATATACGACGTGCGTATACAAGTATATACATGCATATAATATATAATATAAATCACAAATTAAATTAAATTTCTGTGTCACTGATAAAAATATAATATTGAGAAAGTATAATTTCGAATTTACATTCACATTCGATTAACTGACGTAAATATACTAGTAACTTATTTACTTATAAGATATAATATTAGGTACCTATGCATAATATCATAATCGGTAAACTAACGTCGTGTCAAACCTACGACCATCTATCAGACGGTGTAAAACGACTTCAAAATAACTAAAGCGCATTACACGTGATCCTAATAAGGAAGTGTGAGAAAAGGAATATAGAACACATTTTTTGATTCTTGATAATTGTATTGTTATAATAATATCATTATTAAGTCTCGCGCCACGTGTCGTCTATGTACAGGTATATATATTGATATATTATGTGAAACTGTGAAAGCCAAAACAGACTTGATCGCCACGTGCACGAGAATAAAAGTTATGCTTTTGTTGAAAATGTATCCCCAAGATGAGATTGATGGCAATTGTCGCTTGTATAATATTATACTATTATTATAAACTTAAAAATGTAAATATAAAAATGGTACAATAATTTGAAGCTCGCCAATAATATTATTATATATTTTATATTATGATCATAACGTTTCCTGTTTCGCGGCAAACCCGACATTATTAAATTATATATTGTTAGCTAAGACAACAACCGCAAAGCGTATGAAATATGATCTAGGTACGTACTTACTTCGAAAAATATTATGTTTGTCCCGCCGCAGCACCGGTCGCCTATATTCGCTGTTCCACGAGGTCGTATCCAATTTCTCTTCCAATTTTATTTATTCCCATTTTTCCGTATTTTATTCGAGGCCTGCAGTGATTTATTTCCCAGATTATTTTCAAAACATAGTTATGAAATCTACATCGATAGATGCAGTGGACGATTTATCGTGTGAAATATGTTATATGATCTTAGAACAGTATCATCTGAAGTTATCGATTGATGAATCGCCGATAAATGATAATTATATAAACAAAATAGTGATTGGGGGTGAAAAAGTCGATAACTCTGTGACACCTGGTTTTGCAAGCGTTCATAAAGTATATCTAATAGTATAATGTATAATAGAATAATAAATTATAATATTTATAAAAAAAAATTGTCAGCAAATGAATATATTGCTACACAGCGAAAAGGAGAGCCTTAATTTTAATGAATTATCATTTTAGAATAAATAAAACAATAAAAATAAAAATTATTGGAAATGCGTCGAAAACTGAGGAATTCGAGTCGTAATTTACAATTAATTTTGATACGTTTTTAATTACAGCCAAAGCCCTCGGGGTACAAATAAAATTGTGAATACAAGTTAATAGAATTTTTAATAAATAAGTAAATTGAGGTCAAACAAAGAATTTTCAGTCCTAAAAAGAAAGTAACAAGCGATCTTCCACAAATGGAGTGGATTGATGACTTAAGCAATACCTATATTAGTTACTTACCTAATTAAACACATCGAATAATATTATTAATAAATTACTGACAGAACTGACAGTTATTACCAGTGATAGTAAACTATTATTTTTTCGAGTCATAAATAATAGCTCGGCAAAATGGAAACTGACCGACAGTCATATTAATACTATACTAGTATACTGCCTGAACCGAACTCAGGTTCAAAAATTGTTTATTCAAGCCCAAAACTAAACCAAACATAAAAATATATTTAAAAGGTTCAAAAGAATTTTCAATTGCTCAAAAAATTGATTGTTAATTGACCCAATTAAATCTTAAAATATAATATTATAGTGATAATTATAATTTCATTTTTTTAATCGATATTCAACAAATCTAGTTCGAATTTATAGGTTTTTAAACTCAGCCCAAAAGATGTGTATAGAACTGTCTAGAATTTATATAAATAATCTTGTCCTAATTGTTTTAAAACATTGGAAAATATTGAACGAATCCGACACGTGATTAAGCCGCCGTCGCACTGTGTCGTATTGAGGGTGACAGAGCGATAATCACCTCGTCCGCTCGTCGAATTTCACATGCGAATATCATCGCCGTGTATAGCTCCCGACCCCCACCCCCAATCTTAGGAGTTGGGTTATAGGTGTGTAGGGTATGTGCATATAAATGCATAGGCGCATTGATCCCCCCCCCAGGTGACAATTTCTGCGCCAGTACACATAAACGATAACGATGTCTGACGATAATGTGAATAATAATATTATTACGATTTACCGTATAACATTATTTTACGTAACATACCAGCTGATACCAATAATTTTTACCTATACCTACGCTTCAGGTGTTGAGGCGGTACAGAGACGACAACCCGGACGGTAGCATCACTTGGGGTTTCGAGAACGATGACGGCACGTTCAAGGAGGAGACCATCGGCGTGGATTGCGTGACCCGCGGCAAGTACGGTTATGTGGACCCGGAGGGCGTCAAGCGCGAGTACTCGTACCAGTCGGGCATACCGTGCGACAAGGACAGGCGGCCGCTGAACGCGCCGCAGCAACAGCAGTCGGGCGCCGGTTCGTCGGCGGTGCAGGAGGCGCAGGCCAGCGACACGTACGGTTACATTGACTACACCAAGAACCAGTACGTCATGGCCAACGGACAGACGATCAACCTGAACGGCATGGCCAGGAACAGGGCGCGGAAACCGGTGGTCCGGAAGACCGCGGTGCCGCCCCCAGCCGACGATCGTTTCTGAGTCGTTTGCCACTGCACGCGCACCCCGTCGTATAATAGATAAAATACTATTGTATGTATCGCATCCCTCCCCAACTGCAGCGTATTATTTGTATTATTATTATTATTATTATTTTTATTTTTAATATTATATCAATGACGGTATCGGAAACTGAAATGTAATCAGTGCTCGAATCGGAAAATTAAATTAAGGGACGTACACTCTTATTATAGACTGGAAAAAAAATAGAGTCCTTTGAAATTTATGAACGCCACTGTATCAAACCCGAGCAGTAATTGCAATATATTATATAAGAGTACGCCAGTTTACAGGCTGATCCATTTAACGTAAGACACTATTATACTTTTCACGTTTTTGAAACAAAATTTTCTTTTAATAACATCATACATTTGTGTTTTAATAATTTGAGTACTTCAACTCATGAAAATCGAATTTTGAACGAATAGTGTATGAGTTGTACAAGTGTTTGAATTTAAAGTCTTGATGAACGAAATGGAATAGTACAAAGGTACCTCACAAAATGTTAGTCCAATACTTTAAATACTTAATATTATAAATAATAAACCACTTGTCTAAAATTTGATTTTTATATAGAACGAAAAACTCCGAATAACATTATACCTACTTCAGAATATGAAATTACAAATTTAATATATGTTGTCATTCAAAAGAGAAAAACACTTAAAAATATTATGTCGATAAAATATATAATTCTTTTCAAAAATGCTGTTTTGTAACACTTAAATTTATGTGAAAAAAATATTTTTAAAAACATTAGTATTTTCTGAAATAATGAAAGTTGCGTAAAATGGATCTCTCCATAGATGTGGAGTACTTATGAGCAATCAAAATGAGTTAATACGTTTTTCTTATTCCATATTACTATAAATAAATTATAATACCTTTTATACAACGAGCGGTTGTATAAATCATCAATTAAATGATTTGAATATTTTATTAAATTAATGCAAAAAAAGGGATTTTCTCAAAATTAAAAAAAACAGATAGCAAAAAAGCTCCGTCCTCCCCTCCAATTTGAGCACTGACTGTAATACGATGAATTGTTTCTTTTTTTTTTAAATAAATAATATTAGGTATAATTTTAATGTTAATATAATATTATAGGACCCGCTGCCACCGCGGTGTCACGCCTGACGCTTCACTATTTTATTGTTTTTTTGATCGATTTTTATTTTTAAATTATTTTAGACAGGTAAAAATATTATTTTGTGTAGATATTAATGTACGCAAGGTGATTATGTATACACCCCAATTACTTTATATTATATACAAAAAAGTAGACTGTTTTTTTTTAATATATAATATAGAAATACTTGATATTATGTATACGTAAAATCATTTTGAATTTTTGTTTTACTATTTATATGCAAACTAATTATTAAAAATACACTTTACCTACAATACTACATTTTCCAATAAGTATTTAAATTTTAAATACTTAAAAATATAAATATATGATTTAAAATACTCACTCATTTATGATATAATGAATATTGAGTGCTCTCCAGGACAGTGGCGTATTCGGAATGTCATGGGGAGGTCCAGTAATTTCAGCACCGGCCAGGGACGAATTTACTCTTATTAAATATTACCATATATTTATAGGACGATTATCGGTTTTAATATTAAAATACAATTTAGCGGGATGGATGTCACCTGTGCTTACAGTAGGTTTGGTCATTAATGGTTGTATTAAACTGACTCATGATATATATCATAATATCATTGTAAGAAAACGATTCTCGTGTCAGTCTGGATATTTTATATTGTTATTATTTATTATAGCATGTTAGTTAAATTAATAATGAAATACTTTTATTTTTTATTTTTTTCTATGGTGATAGACAAAGTGTTAGAAATTAAAATCCCATTTTTAGCGGTTTTTCGTAATTTTTTGGTGGTTTTTACAGTGGCATTAAATAACTATTGAGAAAATCGAAAAATGACCTCTCTAAGATAGTAATCTTGATCCAATTTTCTAAAAGATAAGTTACTATATGTCTATACATGTTGAAATCGAAGCACTCCTTCTGGAAGAAATTTTGTATACAGGAAAAAAAAATAAACACCATTGTAGAACCAATAGATCCCTCAGAATCGAATATATAGTTATATGTTATAACTTTTATACAAATATTTCCTTAATTATACATTAGGTACCTACTTCATTCATAGTTGATCTTAGATAGCTTTTCAACCTTAAAAAGTTTGAAAAAGATCTATCTGGAGTGGTTGTAGATACTGGCAATCCGGGCAATGCACAAAACTACAAACATATTTGAATTACAAACTGAACTTTGGTATTTTAAACCAATTCGGTCCCCAACTGATAAAAATATCAACGTATTTATTGAAATGTTGATATAACTATAGCTTCGAAAAAAATTTTTTATCCAATCAGTAAAATGTATTGATAAAATTTGTTTTTCATAGGTAAAAACTGCAAACATTTACCTGTACGAGGGACACGATCCACTGGGGGGTCCGGACCCCATGGTACCCCCCCTTAATTACGCCACTGCTCCAGGAGTTCAAAGCCAGAATTTGTCTGGATAAGTTTTTTTGTCCTTGTACGTGGACCAGTGTCGTAATTAGGAATTTGGGGGGAGTTTTGGGGGAGGATATACGTTTTTAGCAAGTATTAATGGTCATTACCTTGAACCTAGCGTGAACTTGATGGTAAGTCCTAATTACGGAAATTTGGAAACAGGTAGGTAACTACCAACATGAGTGTACAAACGAACTAGCTTCGTCTAAACATTTTTATGGTTCTTTGTATTTATATAGGCATTAGGTATAGGGTGAGAGGGTTATTATTGTAAAATAATTGTTTTTTCTAAAATAGTGAAAACCAGGAGATAGTTTCTGAGAAAGTATAAAATATTGGTTATTTTGAACATGGGCGTCATTTGAGCGGGTGCAAGGTGTACATTTGCACCAACTTTTTTATAAAAAGCCTTCTTTGGCCTGCCAACAATAAATATACCTAAGTGTTTTATATTATATGTTTTCATAGTTTTTCAGTACCTAATAAAAAAAAATTATTATACTAATGTTTAATTTAATTTATATTTTATTATTAACATTTATATAATTTAATTTTGTGCTACGACGAATTTGCTCCCTAACCTAACCTAATGCTAAAATAAATGGATCTCAAAAATGGTAGGCATAATAAGATAATTATTAATTATATACCTCATCAGAAGATCTGGGAGTATTATTTTTATTTGGGCCGAGCTTACATTTCAATCACTTTAACCTAAAAAAAAAGATTACAATCACTCCTGGGCCTAGGCAGAAGTTGAGTATATTTATTCTCGAACGAGCGAACAAACGAAAGAACGAACGATACGTTTAATATGTGCACCCTTACTCCGCGCTCGGTCGTAGAATAATAATATAAATTAACATATTATACAATATATTATATTTACCTATATTATAGGTGTTTTATAATACACACACATACAACATACTAAGGGGGAGGGGGGGGGATGACATTTTTTACTATTTTCAGACCACGTTATACAACGGTAAATAACTTTTATTGCTTTACCTATCATATTATATTTTATACGACAAAATAAGCCAAAGGGAGGAGTACGCCCCTGCACACACACACAGCTGACGTCCTTGTACCCCGCAAAATTCAACAATATTATTATTATGTTGAGTGAACGCATTTTATAATGAATTACAAGTGACTTTAAATTATAATAAGAATGTAAAATATACATAACAATACCGCTGCAGATGTCCACTCGTGCGCCAAATGCGAATTTAAGTGATTGACTTTTGATGTGGCAATGGAGGGTTCGTAGATGGCTATAGCCATTTAGATTATATTTTAAATGAATACTCAATTTTAATAAACCGGAAAACTCGCTCGCTGAATAATATTATCTTTCTGTAAAATATTTAAAACCTACATGGCTACCAATTTGATTATTAATTATTTAGTGAAATAAATAACTGAACACGGAAATGTTAAAATTCCCACCTTTACCTAAAACAGTAATTATTGCTAATTGCTGCAATGCTACCAATCTAATATCTATAGAGACTAGTACCCACCTAATTCTCACTGTTGTAGTTGTAAATACGGCTTGGCAATGACAGGTAGGTAATAAAGAATAATTTTAAAAGCCAACAGGCTGATATTCGACTGTATTAATTCAATCTAAAATACTCAATGTAACAGTCGTAACCTTGTAGTTAACCTTATGACCTAATTAATTATAAAAATAAATTACCAACAGCAATTAAATGATAAAACTGTAATAAAATATAGGTACCTAGGTACTCACTACCAAGGGTTAAAGTGGGAAAAAATTCCAGAGGGGACTAATGTCTCCATTTAGTTTTAAGCGTTCCTATATAATTTTATGTATATTGTCTAATGTATAAAAACCTAATTTTTTAAAGGGGGAAGCTTTTTAACCGCCGTCACACTTTAACCCCTGCTTACTACTTAGTAATATATTGTCCAACAAACCATCTCTGCTTAGAATCGTTATGCGTACCAATAATTTATCATTGAATTCAAACACATATATAATAGGTAGTCATGCCAGTCATCTACTCAATGACAAGGTACACTCGATGTCTCTGTCGGTTGGTTGAGTGGGAGATGCACGAAATCGGACGAGTTTTGGTCGAATAGTGGTAGGTACTGATCTATCGTGGGCCGGAGTTCCCCGATGATCTTTTTTTTAGTACCTATTTAATATTATAACTTGATCTGGTTTTTCTCCTTTGAATCATTCAATTTCATTTTAAGATGTTTAAAATAAATACAATGCCGTCCTTTTTTAACTTTTCTTTTTTATTTATTAAGCCTGACAATAAAAGTATAATTTAAAAAAATAAATGTTATAAATAATTAATAAACTTAAGTTTGCTTAATTGTTAAGACAAGCATTCTTGCTTTTAGCGATTATCCTCGTGGTTTTATCAATTAATACTACTGCATGTAC